CAGCTCGGCGATGCGGTTGTGGCGCAGCGTCAGCACTTGCAGCTGGGGCAGCGCGCCGAGATCCTGCGCACTCAGGGCGCTCAGCAGGTTGTGGCTGCCGTCGAAGCTACGCAGCGCGGGTGGCAGGCAGCCGGGCAGGCGCCCCAGGCTGCGGTTCGCGAGGGTAACGGAGGTGGCCTCCGAGGCAGGGATCCCCTCGCACGGCGAGCCTGTGGCGTTGTTGCCGCCGCTCGCCCAAGGACCCTGCTGAAAAAGCCGGAAGAGCGGGACCCTCTCCTGGGGAGGCCCTGCCTGGCTTGGGAGCAGCGCCGACGGCAGCAGCAGCTGCAGCAGCAGCAGAGCCCAGTACATGGCGCGTGGCTGGGGAGAGAAGAGCGACGTGGTCCATTAATTCCTGTGGAACAGAGGGGGAAATGTGCCCCTCCGGGGGGCCCTGACACAGAGCCCACGCCCTGGACGTTCCCTCGAGGGCCGGGATGTTCCCCAGCATCAGCGAATATGCAGTGACTACCCCCTGCCTGCCTTTCATCAGCTCCCCCATGTGCGCCGTGGCACCTCCTTTCCTTCTCCCCGTCATGCCCTTTCCCTCTTCTTCGCCTAAGGCCCAGCATCCAAACGTAAACCTCTTCTGTGGTCGCCTTGATTTGTCCAGTCTGGGTCTGAACCTCCCAGTAACCCCCCGCGTTTACTTGTCCCCATTCCATGAGCTTCTGAAGGGAAAGAAACAGGCCCTTTATCGCTGTAAACTCTCCCGGGTGCACAGAAGCTCCTCCATAAGCGTTTGTTCATAACGAGCCTGTGAACAGCCTCTCTGGAAGATCTGCTGGGATATAAACATGGGACTCGCAGAAGATTTTTTTCAGTTCCAACGAACCTCTAGTTGCCGATTTTTCCCCTTAGAACTGCCCAGTTGCTGTTAGTCCTGCTTTGCATGTGACCTGGTGTCCAGATCGTATTTAAAAATCAGTTATAGGGTCCCTTTCTTGGGAAGGCACTCAGGGTTGCCTTCAGGAGAGGAAAGAGCCCCCAGCCAGCTGTGAGGCTTAGGAACCTGGAATCCAGTATTTCCTGGCCGCATGTGGGTTCCAACAAAAGCAAGGGCGCCCAGAGCCAGCCCAGCCCTGGAGGGATGGCTGAGAGGGGCTAGGTGTGGAGTGTCTGGAGTACCCAGGATTCCACAGTGCGGATGGGAGATCAGGGGGTGTAGATCCGGCAGCTATGAGCTGGTTTGTGGCAACAAAGCTATTTCCAACCAGGGTCTGGCAGGGTCACTGCTTGATGTACCCCCATTACAGCATATGTATATTCCTGCCCCCGCCCTCTCTGCTGATTATTTAGGAACCCAGACTCCCTCCCTTTTGTTAACTGGGGATCAAGGCAGTGATACGATCCCAGAAATTGAGGCCAGGAGTCCGGGC